ACGAAGATATCAAGTTTTCGTGCGAAAGCTCACTTGGTATTTCATTGGTGTTTATATAATAAACCGTATTTATTATCTTGTTACTTTTTGCGAATAATTAAAATCCATGAAATCGAAAACGTTAGAGAACCCCGGTGTAAACGAAGTTGATCTTCGGGGGTACGTTAACAGCTATCTTTTTGCAACTTACTGATAATATTCCACTAGCCAGCAAACTCACCGTTTGGAAATAGTGTTCGAGAGATGAGCAGCTCGTAAACGAGCCGCGAAAGATTAGGGTGGAGGATTCAGGAAAGATCACAGGCTATTAAACAATTTCCCATGATGACCGATCTTTTTAACTTAATTTTTTGAGATCCCTAAACAATGCCTGGTTTGTTATTGAACAATTATACTCGTGCCTGTTAGCTCCACTAGCCTCATTAACGTCTAGCTACCATCTAGGTTACACGTCCATATAAGAAGTATTTGGGGCACATGAGTCACATCGGTGGGATGCTCTATGAATTTTTGGGTGGGGCTATGACGCCTTCCAACCTTAGTTAATATCATGTTAAGGTTTCATTTTGCAGCCTTGTTCTAACGCCTCGTTTAAACGGAGAAAACTTGTTCCAGGTAGAAGAGTCACCCCTCCAGACGAGTAAACTTTAGCGAGCGTTTATATGAGAAACAAGTTGACTTATTTTCCTAAGCCAATAGTATTTGCGCATGCTCTGATTGTCCCACCTTGACCGAGTTGACCCGGCTGGGCGATCGCAAGTGTTTATATGGAGAACATTTGGCCCTGTTATGAGGGTGACTTAATTTAAGCCACCACAAAATTACAGGGCCAGACTAGGCGATCAACCCTTCTAGCCGAACCAACTTTTTGTTTCTCATGTAAATGGGACGCCACGTTTTGTAAGGAAATGTAGGAAACGTTGGCTCGTCCAGAGTAGTTCAGGTAGGTGGGTGACCCTTGTACCCGTGAAAAGTTTTCTCCATACACAGTGTGTAGCGCGCTTGTTCCTTTCAGTGGCTTATGCCAGATCTTTGCTTAAAGAACGAGGTATACACAGTGTGTAGGGAGCTTATTCCTTTCCGTGGCTTATGTGAAATCTTTGCTTAAAGAACGATATATACATCGCGCTTGTTCCTTCGAGTGGCTTATGTCAGATCTTTGCTATAAAGAACGATGAATACACAGTGTGCAGGGTGCTTTTTCCTTTGCGTGGCTTATATATGTGAGATCTTTGCTTCAAGAACAAGGCATACACAGTGTGTAGGGCGCTTGTTTCTTCGAGTGGTTCATGTCGGATCTTTGCTTCAGAGTGAACTAATGAGATGCATTTTCCACTCGACAACCCTGTTTGTCGGGTCGAGACAACTTGTCCACTCGTACGACTCGACAACTTAGATGCCGTCCCTAGTCGACTAATGAGATACATTTTCGACTCGACAACTCTGTATGTCGAGTCGCGACAATTTGTCCTCTCGTACAAGTTGTGAAAGGTATTTCTCCTCTGGTGTCATGTCGACAGTATTGGACATGACTGGGTTTCTCTTTCAGTTTGTCCAACACGTACTTAATCCTTTATTGCCAACGAGGCAACCGAGCTAAGAAGCGAGGTTGCCTCGGCGGCGGAATTATAGCGCCGCGCAATGTAGGCAAAAACTCTCAAATTCTGCGTAACCCTCTAAAATTTGCATTTTTGACCATATTTGGGTGTAAGTAAGACCCCAAATTTGGGTAGTGACGTCATGGCCTTGTATTTACAACTCGTGGTCCGAAATTGGGTGACAGTGTGTAGCTGTTCAAGAGGACCTAACAGGTGAGCAAGCTTTACTACGATTACTAATTTGAAAGGGCAATTAGCGCTCTGGTTTGCTTTATAAATTGCGTTTAAAGCAGCAAAAAAGCGCTCAAATTTTTGTCAGAACCAGCTTGATCTTTGCAGCTCGATTTATGATTGAGGTAGCGTGTTCGCTTCTCGACTCAGAACTAGGGTTTTCGGTGTTCTCTTTTCATTTGTGAATTGAATTTTAAGCAGTAGTTGATCAAGGCATAGGGTTATATTCTCAAAACCTCCTACCAGAACCAGCGTGTTCTTCTCAGGTCGATTTACATTGAGCCAATCCTCACCTCCCGTGAGGAATGCAACGTATTTCCGGACCTTTTTTCTTTTTAGAATTTATTTATGTCTTTCGAGAGATTTTGTTAACCAGCATGTTTGTTTGCTGCTCGATTTACATTGAGACAACCCAAAACTCACGTGGGGAATGCAACGAATTTGCGGACTTTTTGTTTTGAAGACGCCTTTCAAGAGACTCTTTGTCCTGTGACACTCGCTCATTAGATCTTTGTATTTTATTCAAGTTTATATTTTTATACCTCTGATACATTCCGCCCCATTCTCGCGTTTTTCACACATTTTACTTTACACCAATTTTTTTAAATGTATATTATCACGCGAAATATTTTTCTTATTCCTGATGATGCTGTTGCTCGGAATTTAATTATTATTTTTAATTTCAGCGTCAAAGGCCTCATTTAAACTATATTTTTCTTTCTAACGTTTATAGTTTTGATCCAATGGAATTTTCCATGTTATACTACTACATGAGAAATTTCTGCAATCTAATTTGAAATACCTACATGTGAAAATTACAAACCTTTTGCGGGTGGTAGTATAAACAAATAATAGCATGATTTGTACGTGATATTTGGTATAAATACCACTCGTGATATTTCAAAATTGTCTCAAATTTCACTCGCCAAACGGCTCGTGAAATTACGTATAACAATTTCGAAAAATCACTCGTGTTATTTATGCCAAATATAACTACAAATCATGCTATTTCCTATACAAACTTAAGTGCTAACTTGCTCATTTTTACCAACAAAGCTTCAAGCCATGTTGTGATTGTTTAATAAAAGTGAAAGCCTAGAATGTGCCAAAATTGTTGTACAGTTTTGAAGTTGGGTGCCACCCTTTTCTATAGTGGAATCCATTTTAAACCTCTAAAATTATGAAAAAAAAAAAAAAAAAAAAAAAAATATATATATATATATATATATATATATATATATATATATATATATATATATATATATATATATATATATATATATATATATATATATATATACATATATATATACATATATATATATATATATATATGTATATATCGCGAAGATCTGAATAGGCACATTCCACAAAAGATAAACAAATTCGCCTCGTTAGCACTCACCGGAAGTTACCCCTAGTATAATGGTTTTGTCGTCATTTACAACTTGCATTATTAAGTATCACTTGTTTTCTTGTAGATGGTGTGTTTGGTGACTTTGCATTTTTATCGGGGTGAACCGTGACGGCAGAAGGTAAACAGACTCTACAGACTCTAGGCAACCGTCTCTCTACGGTTGAGAATCTAGTAGAAAACTATTATTTATTACAATCCATTCTAAAATCACTGGTGATTTCAAAATCAGCTGATTGGTATGGTAGCAGTGATATATTCAGGAAACCTTTTGGCTTCAAATTACATCTCTTCTTAATTAAATGTTGTTTTAAATCCCATCATTTTTTCTGTTTTGCATGCACAATGAGACTGGATAATTAACCAAAGCGTTTCTGGTTCCTCTTTCCCACAAACCGGTTACAGGAGCATTAAAATATTAGTACTGATAAAAATACTCTTAATTGTGTGATGTCAGAAGATAACGCAATAAAGCTGAAATTGAGCTTCTTGTCCTACATCACGCATATTGCGTTATATAAATACTACAAAACATTATGAATGCGAATCTGTATAAAATTATTCGCGTGACGTTGTATAATTATTTATTATGTTAATCTTTGGAGAACTACTTCTAACCATTCATTGTAATAATTTTGAGACGAAGCCAAAATGTCATTCCATTTTCGCGCAAAATTTTTCTTACTTGTGTAAAAGGAGAAAAAAAATGCAAAAAGAGGAAAAAAAATGTTAAATTTGTAACTTTTACGATTGTTTACGGTACATATGAAACCCAAACAGCTTGGAGGAAGTTTTGTTATTTACATTACAAAGGGAGAAAAATTTCATGAAATTGGATGGTGGCAATCATGAAAGTCTGTAAAAAATCGGAATTCTTACAAGGCCATCTCGCCGAATCGAAAAATAAATTGATGAAATGTGACCTGATCTTCCGCCTCGACAACCCCTGCTATTAAAGTATCGACAGCTTCAACTTATTTCAACAGCACTGCGAAGCGGGGCCCAGAACACTGACACCTACAATCCGCTATTAACTATTGCACTTAATACGTTGGTTGAGTGGTTGTAGGTTGTATCAGGTCAACAGTATTATACAAAATTAAAGTGAGAACTGACATGAAGAACTTACTGGTATCTTAATATCATTTGGTGGCAACGTCGAAGGATGTATTGCACCTGTTTGGTCCGTTGGTTTCTTCGTCCTCAGTTCATCCAACATAACCATAATCTCTTCTTTTAAATTTCTTTCTTCCTCTTTCTTCATGCGATCCACGTTCCCTTTAGCATTTTTTTTCGCCATTGTCAAGTACCACCTGAATCTTTTTCAGAATGATGCTATATTCGACGATCTTGCTTTGTTACCTTACTTACCAGAAGGCATACTGACGTTTGCCAGCCATTACGTCATTGCTCATGCTCAATTTATAATTTGAGGTACTTCCTCTGTTCATTGGTTAAAAAGGTGTTGTTTATGAATAAAGAAAAAATTGAAAATTTCCTTTCCACAAGCGTTTACTGCATGCCTCCCAGCTGACAGCTTGCAGACATTTAGGAAGAAACGGAGGGAATTTCTGTTTTAATCACATGTTGTTAGTTAGGTGAGATCAGTCA